TTTCTTTTACTCAATTTTCAAGGCTTGATCTCGCCTAACCTATTTAGAATTTGGTAGTACCTCTTGAAGCAAAGTCGGAGAGCTCGTCGAGGCCGTCAATTTGATAGAAGCCAAGCACCATTTAGCCAACCCTTGGATTTTCAAATTTTTGGGCATAAATTAGGGTTTTTTTGCATTATTTTGAGGTAGGGGTTTCTAATATGCACATTCTTTGATTTTAGTGAGTTAACTTCTCTAAATTTGGCCTTAGCATGCTTAAATTACATAAATATGTTTATGGTTACGAGGGTTTTGTGTATTTAGTGTGATAATTGTATATTATGTAAAAATTGAATTCATATATATATCTATTTAAATTATGGGAAAGAGCATGCTAGATTTAAAATGTCTTGTGCTTCAATGTTGTGTGCTATCAATGTGAGGTTTAGGGACGGCAACAGGGTGGAGTTAGGGTGGAGTTGGCTAAACCCTACTCCGCCCCATTAAAAAATTCGTCATACCAACTCCGCTCCAACTCCGGGACGGGTTTATAATTGGTTTACCATCCCCGCCCCTACTCCGGTAGACAAAATACCGACTTCGCCCTGCATACTCCGTTTAATTGCGGTAAAGTTGAAACTGTTGAATTAATTCCTGGACTTAGAATAGAATACTGAGATTTTGAATCCTTGAAGATTGAATCACGTGCACAATTGTAGAATTTTAGTAAGTAGTGATTTTAACGAATATTTAGTCAAAATATATTAATGGACACTTAAATTAAATATATATGTTATATATATATATATATATATATATATATATATATATATATATATATATATACACACACACACACACACACAATTGGGGTCGGGGCGGGGGTGGGGTAGGGGCATCACTAAATCCGCCCCCGCCCCAAACCCGCTTCGGGTTTTCAATTCTTTTACCATATCCATCTCAAACCCATTTATGGAGCTACCAAATCCGCCCCATTAAGAGTGGAGCGGGGCGAAAACCCAGCGGGTTGGAGGAAATTGCCATCCCTAGTGAGGTTGACCACTTGAAATTTAATGTGTAAATTTTCTTCCAAAGCATGCCTTATATGTTTAAATTGCTATATATGATAAAATTGTTATATGTATGGGAATTGTAAATTGTGTTGGCATTGAAAGACATAAAGCATTCATGCATGACATTGGGCAAGAAATGGGTATAATAATTTGAAAGAAAATGGAAACTTGTTTTTGGGTAATGATTTTGAAAAGGGTTTGCAAAAATCCAGACGTTTAGGAGGTGCCTAGTGGTCTGTGGTGTTAATGTGATCTAGAGGGAATTAGGGAGAGACCCTAGCGTGGTTAAGCTACCTAGGCAGGAACGATGACATGGAGGTGCCATGTGGTCGGGGATAGCTAGACAATCCTTCCCTCGTGACGCCATAGAGGTGTTATGGGTCGGGTTGCATTAACGGTTTGGAACGGTGAAACGGAATTGTTTTAAAAAATGAAGGAGCGACATTGGTATGACATTGCATTTCATTAGCATATATAGTGTATTTGTGATTGGATGACATTTATTTATATACTTGACGTTGTGGTTATTGATGTGCATTCCCTATGGCATGATCCCGCTTACTTTTACCTATTCTTTGCGTGGATTCACGAGGTCATAAAAGGTCTGTCTTAGGCGCCTCCTACTAAGCGTTTAACTCACCCCATTATTTTAACATTTTTCAGGTTCGGGAAAAGAAGTGGTAGACGACAATCCATCACAACTCTAGACTGGATTGGAACTATCATTTTGCTTTCTTTTGTATAGAAGTATGAACTATGTTCTTTTGTAAAGACCAAGTGTAGTTTATATAATGTTGTAGAAACAAATGTTAACCATGGGTTGTAAATTATATGAATTTTTGTTCTTTTGTAAAAGATTATGAAGAATCGTGCATAATCATGTCGCTATCGGACTTAAATGGATATTATGATTTGTATTTCAATGATTTTGCATATGCTTGGATAGGTTTCCTTCAGTTTAAAGTTCTATAGTAGGCTTTTGTTCATTCCCATGTTCATAGCAATCCAACTGCATTTTTTTCAGCTCGCAGGGCCATTTTGGTCGACCGAAATGGGCACTTCGGTCGACCGACCATTCCAATAGCCTCGCTAAAATTTTGGTCACAATCGGCCTACCGGAATAGCCATTTCGGTTAACCGGCACAGGAGTCATTTCGGACGACCAAAGCTCCACTTCGGTCAACCAAAATGCTGCTTCTTTGTGCACTTGTTCCTTCTTTTGGTATGTCTAACCTTGAGCCTTGGGGGGTTGCTTAGAGCTTTCTTGGAACATATTTAAGACGTAAGAATGATGTACCGACACTGGACTTGATGTCATTGACTTAGGTAACTTCGGGTTCGGGTAAGGACCCGGTTAGCGGTTCGGACCTACGAGTTCGAGTCGTTACAAAAAAAAAATATATATATATATATATATATATATATATATATATATATATATATATTATTGTTCAGTGAACAACGATGCCTTGTGCTGTGGTGGAGAAGGATCTGTTGGTCAACTTTGCATGTGCCCGCTGCTTGTCATGCCCCGCTTAATTGTAGGGAGGCTTCGCCACGCCAGGTGACACATTATCGTTGAGAACATCTGCATGGCATTATTGGCACGACATGGCATGACTAAGACAGAGTTTTAGAGTATTTCATCATAATTATGTAGAGAATTATAGAGAGAGTTGGAAGACTATAATATGTTGGAAAGTTTTTGTAAATAGTTGTAGAGAATAGAATATTTATAAATAATAGAGAATTTTGTAGGTAAAATGTCTAAGAAGTTTGACTAGTAAGGAGCATGTCTACAAATAAGGGAGGGAGTTAAAAGCAAGAACTTTAATTAGTCTGTAAGTTTACAATGACAACTTCTTTAAGTTTCTTTTCGGAATGCATTTTGAGTTGCTCACAAATGATTAAATTTGCCCAAAGGCAATGAAAATAAGCAGGTTTCTAATTTATTCATGGTTCCATAAGTTTAATCGATTTTGCAAATTTATTCAACCGCAATAACGTTCTTAGTTCTTCATCCTTTCATGAGTAAAAAAAACCTTTAATGCTAATCCAAAATGTTGCCACCAAGAAGGGTATTCAGTGTGTAATTTTCAAATATATATATATATATATATATATATATATATATATATGAATCGTATTTTAATTGTTTGACTTTTGTATTAAAAATGTTACGACAAATTTTATTTATTTATTTATAATAATGAAATGATTAAACTCTTGATATGTGATGAAACAACCGTAGTTATTTTGTCTGTGTTTACTTGTGATTTATCTTTAAAATTATGAAAGATATGAAAACTCCATGCATGACTAGAGGACGATACACCAGATCGTCAAATTCGGGTTAAATAATTCAGACCATAAAGTCAAATTTAAGTGTTTAATAAGGTGTTTAGCTTTAATAAGTGAATTTCAAAGTAGAGTGCAATTAGTATATTATCATAGAAACTGCCCTTGGTAAATCAACCAGAATAAGCAAAGAACCATCTAATTAATTTCCAAAAATTTATTTAAACATTTTGAAAGTATAATTGTATTTGTTTGTCTGTTCACAAGAGAGATGTGACTTTTTATCTTTTCTTTTTAAAAGTCAAAATGTTATTATTTCAAAATGAAATTGTTAAAATGACCAACAGGCCAGTAGTCTAGCGATATTAAGTCCCTACTTTTCAAAGAGAAATCAGGGATTCAAGCATCAGTGGAGACATGTGTATGTGAGTACCTAATTAAAAAAAAAAAAATTGTTAAAATGTCCAACCCGACACCAATAATTGTGAAAGTACCACCCCATAATTTTGTCACTTTCACGATTGATCGGAGTGTTCGACATTATATCACTACTCATTTAAATATATGTTTCACGGTCGAGTGTCTTCACAGAGTGTCTGATATTGTATTACTACTCATTCAAATTATATGCTTTAGTGACAAAAATCCGAACATTCTATCGAGGTATTTTTTAGGTCACCACAAATATAAAGATGAAATCAACATATAAATATTTCAATATAAGTTTGACATTAAACAAAAAGTACCGTTAGCTGATCAAATTTCAGGTTATAGTCTCCTTAGCTCATAGATTTTTATTCATAACAATTAAGTCAAACCACTTGAAACCATACAGAATAGATTTGAATACGAAACAGCTTAAATTCAATATTTTAGTTGGTCTTTAGTTAATTTCAGGATACTTGACATGATTATCTACATCCATTGTGACTAATGCAGCTCTGCTACATGCTCACTGCCTAAAGACACACCTCTAACCAACTGCCCAAATTAGTTCATATTTACAATTCCATCCCCCAATTCAGTTTTTTTCTTTTTCCTCTTTTTATTTATTTTTTTATTTTTTTATTTTGAAGTTTTCATCATAATCCAACCCTTGAGAAAGCTAATGCAGAATTTCTTCCATGCCTCCCTGTCTGGCTCATGTTTCTACAACCTAGCCTTCACCTCATCAGTAAAAGTATCCTGTAGAGTATATCAATTCATGGCCGTCTGATTCGCGGACTATACCATAATCAGATGGTTGACATACCACGATGAAATTGCACTAGAGACCATAATGTGAATTTCATACTTGAATATATAGTTAATAAGATGTAAGAGAATGTCTTTAGTGTACTCAGGATGACCATAATGTAATTTCCATACTTGAATATCTCAACCCCCGTCATATAAGACCACATCTAAGTTTATTACAAGAACATTAGTACACGCTTCGAACATACTCGGTAACTAATAAGCAAACCCTTTTTTGTGGTAATTATTCAATGCAAGCAGATGCAGTTTTCTTAACACGCACCTCATCACGATGGCATTTTTCAGAAATGTGAAGTATGATTGTCAAATGGGGCACAGCCTTTTTCTCTATGCATGTGCCGACGGTCAATCAGATTGACTTGAAAAAACATAACACCGTGTGGGCCCACTTGCAGGAAGCTTCCTCTCCTGCTACGCTTTTATCCTTCAACTCCTTCCCCCTCTTTCTTACTCCTCTTTGCTTCTCTCATCTATCTCTTCATCACTGAACATAACAAATTCATTCTTTCAGTGGAAGATTTTGCTAATTACAGGTAACTCTTTTACAATTGAACACCCATTGCTCAATATTTTAAGTTTATTACATGGATCATTTATCAATTTTTTATTTTCTATGTTCTATTTCCGTTGAATTTGTTGTTCCAAGTGTATGCATCTATGAGAAAAGCTAAAGCCACATATAAAAGTGTAGCCTGAATAAAAGTAGGTATGGTTTCTTTGTTATTAATGTGATTTCTTGGTATATTTGTCTTTCTCTGTCAGATCAAGCATTGAATCTGTTCTAAAAGTTTAAGGTAGTAGGAATTAGCCATTCATAAATTTAATGTAAATATGATTAAAACTGAATATATATATTTAGTAAAACTGATAACATATAAGGAGATTTAATAAATATCGAAGGACAAGAAATACCAAAAGATTTTATATTTCTTTTAACCTAGGCTCAATTCTTTAATTGGTTGCAAAGTTGAAGAGTGGTTAGGGTGTATTGTATGTGTGATTCAACTGTCTGTGAGGAAAAAATATTTTATTGTGTTATTTGCCACGAAATCCCAAGAAAAAATAATAATAATAATAAAAATAAAAATAAAAATAAAAAAAAAATATCATACCAAGGCACTAATATAACACAGCCAGTAACAAAGCATGACCAAGAAATAATCAAAGGCCTGAACAGTACAAACGCGCACCCAATAACCATACTTACATATGAATTTTACATGAGAAAGGCGAGGAAGTTTTTACTTATCTATAGACCTCAAAATGGTTTCATTGAGAGTCTCTCAATACAACGGTGAGATTGTGAGCTCAATAAGAACATCTTCATGATAGACTTTGTCTTTTACATACATTAGAAACATAAACAACCATTAGCACATAATTACATATACAAGAAATGTTAACTACCATCTGCTCTAAAAGCTTAAGTTATTAGAGAGGGTGTAACTTTAATATTTAAATCCTTCAACATGCCTTCTCTCGTGTAGTCTTCTTTTGGTTCAACATATGTTTTTCAATTTTTTAATTAGGGTGACGGTGAGGTTTAATCTCAAGACCTTTGGATACCATGTTGAAAATATAAAAAATTGTAGCGAGAAATCAATCATGAAGAACGCAAGAATATACGTGGTTCAGCCACTACGACCTACATCCACGGCACACAAAGGCCAGAGGCTACATCACTTTTATTATTTTCTCTCTTAATATTGTTTACATTCAGCACCTTTATTTATAGGTGAAATAATACAATTGTTAAATATGAAAAATATATTGATGAACAATTCTTAAAATCAATCCCATATTTTCTATCAAGAGCACTTTATCAAGCCTTCCCACTTATTTTCTTTCTTTGTTCCAAATTTCATGCTCCGTTGCTGATAGAATCGAACAAATTCAAAGGAATTTTCTTTGGGGAGGTAGGGGAGATGAGTTCAAGTATCATTTTGTTAGATGGGAGCAAGTTTGCAAGCCTATAAACTTTGTATCATTCGCTCTCTTTTTTGTTATGTGAACAGAAGTTCGTGTTCCTCTTCTGTTGATTTAATTTCTTTTCTAGATTCTTTGGGGCCTTGAACCCCGGTTCCTTTGTCCACGGGACGCGTTCCCCTATTGAACGCCATTTTTAATTTATTATTACTTATCAAAAAAAAAAAAAAAAAATCAATCCCATAAATCATTCCATTTAATATTCTATCATAGGCTAAAATAACTCCTATGATATTCTCCAATACCCCCCCCCCCCCCCCCCCCCCTCTCTCAAGTTGGTATACGGAGATTTTAACTTGAGTGTCCAAGTTGAAACTAAATGCGAAGTTGTCGAGAGTTCGAGACGATTTGACCCAGAGATTTGAGACGAGTTGATCTGGAGATTTGAGACGAGTTGATCCGGAGATCCATGACGAGTATAGTATAGAGTAGGTAATGATAAACCTGTTCTGATATCATGTTAACTATCATCTATCTACTTAAAAAGCTTAAGCTATTAGAGAGGGTGTAACTTTAATATTTAAATCCTTCAACAAGGAACATGTCGCAAATATTCTTGTAGGCCAAAGAAGGTGTGAGTTGCACAATGCGGAATAATTGTGGAATATAATATGGATAAGCAACCTAGAGGGGAGTGAATAGGTTCAACTTACTCTTTTATCCGATTTTTGCTTAAATTAAATTTACCAAAATAAAAGTAAATGAATCAAATCACAAAGCAAAAATAAATGCAAGTAAAGTTGAGTGACACCGGATTTTAGCTAGGAAACCAATTGGAAAACCTCGAGAATTTTTGCATTGTCCCGAGCGTAAACAATCCACTATGTTTGAAGCAAAGTATACCGAACTTTTACTCAGGTTCACACCCCTTCACTCTACTAAGACCCAACTTGTTGAATGCCCCTGGCTTTGCGACTCCCCTTGTTCAATAGCTCTCGACTTCAGGCTTACTCCTTGAACCTTGTAAAAGGATTGTTGGTAGATCAACAACACTCCGCGAATGCCTTAACCCCTTCAAAATGTGATCGACCTTCAAATCAGATTACGATGTAGAAGGAATGAATTCTGCTTGTCTCTGATCGATATTGATGATTTCTTCAAACTCATACTTCGATCAGAATAAGAACAACACCCTAAATCACTCGTGTGTATATAGTGTGTATGCTTTCAATGAAATATACTGAAAAAACTCACAAAGATGGCTCTTAATTAAAATAGAATTTTGTATGCAAAAAGCCGTGTAACCCTAAGTGAGAAAAATATGTTTTTATAGAGTTTTAAAAATCTAATTAAACTTGGAAAAGAAGTTAATTTCGTGCATGACAATATAGCAAAAGTCTACCCAAAATAGTAAGCCAAAACAGAGTAGGAAATATAGTTACCAAAACTGTCTGCTCGCCTTGAACAGTTTCAGGATTGAACTGGTTCAAGTGGGGCTGAACCGGTTCAAGTTGCCCAGACTTGAACGTTGCTAAAAAACTTCCAAAAGTTGAACCAGTTCAAGTTAGGCAGAATGAAAATTTTCTAAAAACCTTAATTTTGAAACCATGCATTTGTTCTCACACTCACTTACCTTCCTAATGTGTTGTTCTAATCATCACGGATTGTATCGAAGTATAAACACGATCACTTCTTTAATTCCGCTTCCAATTTGAATGTTGACAAATCGAACCAAAACTTTACAACTCGATCGGAATCGTTTTGACGACGAAATTTGCCAATTACAAATTTATATATCTCACAGAATGGTCTCAAACAGCACAGTAATCTTTGATTGGGCACTTGAATCTCTTGCCCCATCTGTATGAAAGAAGTGAAGAAATTTGTAGTGATAACATGGCTTGTACAGTTAAGGGAACACTTCCTATCACATAAAAAATAAATAAGAAAGAGTTAATAACACAATAAAAAATTGAAATGAAAATTTTTAAAGCCTGGGAGCACCGAATTGGCCCATTGGAATTGGAGGAATTTAGTTCAAAGTTTCCAAAACACAACATAATAGTTATTACCTAGTCATGCTTGATGAGAGGGAATATTTGTCAGTTAAGAAATAAAACGTTCATAAAATGAGCATTGGTTTTTTTCTCATTGGCAAGAAACTCACAATCCCAATTGCCCCTACGGGAACTAGAACCCTCGCTTCTCATTTTGAGAGGTAAAGGAGATATCATTAGGCTACAACGCCCTTGGTAAATGAGCATTGTTGAAATGTGTATGTTGGGATGGATGGATGTCAACACAAAGAAGGACAAAAATGGAAATGAAAATAACATCAGTTGGAGATAAAATTAGAGAAAATCTACTAACATGGTTTTAATAATGTGCAGCAAAGACCAACAGCTGCACTAGAGAGGAAAAGTAATGCTCTCCATCGATGGCAATGATAGAGAAAAGAAGACAAAACTGATATGGGTTCATGTAGTAAGAAAGTTATGATAGTGTGTAGTTTCATTGAAGTTATAATTAGGCCTAGAAAGAGAAAATGGTGAAATGAGATTCATGTAGCATACATCAAATAATTGAGATGAAATTTTGTTAAGTTGAGTTGTGCTAAAACCTTTTTGAAGCCACTTTGAAGCATTTTGTTTCTGGATTTTTTGTTACGTGTGTTCCCATTTAACCCTTGCCTCATCTGCAATTCATTAATGCCCATCCTTTAGCATTTCCTTATGTACTTTGGTTTGCATATGAGATTTAATTGACTTCGTTTATTTGAGTACATAATATTGTTGGTTTATTTTTTTATTGACACCATACACAAATATTGGTTGTGCCTGTACAGATTACATATATCCTTGTTCATTGATCTCTTAGAGGGTTGTTCAATGCCTGCTATGGGAACCCAAGAAGCCTCCTCAAGTCGATGTTCTTATCACGTGTTCCTGAGTTTTAGAGGTGAAGACACCCGGAATACTTTTACTGATCATCTTTATACAGCTCTACTACATGCAGGAATGCGCACATTTAGGGATGATGATGGACTGGAGAGAGGACAGAATATCACCCTAGAACTAAATAAGGCAATCCAAGAGTCGAGAATTTCAATAATTGTCTTCTCAAAAGACTATGCATCATCAAGATGGTGTCTTGATGAGCTTTTGAATATCCTTGAGCACAAGAAGACTGCTGGTCATATGATTCTGCCTGTCTTCTATCATGTGGATCCATCCCATGTAAGAAAGCAGACAGGGAGTTTTGCTGAAGCATTTGCCACACACGAAGAGCGATTTAAGGCAGAGACAGAAGAAAGAAAAGAGGCAGGGTTGGAGAGGATAAAGAGGTGGAAGGCAGCTTTGAGAGAAGTTGCAGATTTGGCAGGGATGGTTATTAAAGATGGGTAATTTAATTGAAGAGTTAATAGTGTTGATTGAATACTTTCAATTTATTCTTGCCATTAGATGCTAATTTTACCCAGTATCCACGTTATTTCTTAATGCTAATGTTTTAAACTAGTTGAAATGTATTGACACATTAATAATACTATCTATATATTATTTATCAAAATGTTTTATGAATTTATATATATAGTTTTAGCCAAATTATCAATACAATAAGAAAGACACCATCCAAAACTGAGTGAATAATTCAAGTAGATGCAGAAGATTTGCTATCCAATATGCATATGATATAAAAATGGGATGTTATATTACTGTCCTATTTGAGAATTTCTGGTATAGTGGTTTCGAAATACTGGATGTTGAGTCTAGAGACTTATTATGTGAGACTGCTTAGATTTTACTAATAATCTGAGTTTATTGACCACAGATATAGAGATTTGATGATAAGAAGATTATAAGAAGATTTCTATTCAAAAGGTTTGAAATAGAAGGAAAGAGAAAAGATGGACTGCACATGAAAGGGCTAAAAATAATTACACATTTAATCATTTTTATTTTATAACTCAAGTTGTGTGAAGGTTACAATTATGTAGAATACAAATTATAAACATAACTGGAATTAAGATACAAAGAAGTATAGCAGGGTACGAGTTTAAAGTGCTTAAAGAATAAATTCAGCCGTTACAAAAGTTCTGGAAATAAGTGGATGAAGCCAAAAGAATGGAAATAGGATTGTGGACAACTTGAATCCCTTTTCATGAACTTTCTTATTTGAACATGCTCATCTTTTTCTTATCTTTTTTCTTTCATATATCCATAACATAACCTATGTAATTCTGTCAATTCGAGATTGTCATAATACTAGGCAGTCTATATGTTTGTATATGAGTCTCATAATACTAGGCAGTCTATATGTTTGTATATGAGTCGTAAAGGCCAAAATTGAAAACCATATAATTTGTATTATTTTATTGTTATAATCATCATTTGTTGTTTCATTTTAACAGATGATGTTTTTAATGGGCTTTTTCCATTTCCATTGCAATTTGTAGGCAGGAGGCAAGTTTTATTCAAAAAATTGTTAAAGAGATTGGGAACAAATTGAATCGCAGGGTCTTGAGTGTTTGTCCACACCCAATTGGAATAGATTCTCGTGTAAAAGACATTAATTTGTGGATACAAGATGGATCGACGGATGTTGGCATAGTGACGATATGTGGAATTGGTGGAATTGGGAAGACGACCATCGCCAAAACTGTCTATAACCTAAACTTCGACAGATTTGAAGGTAGCAGCTTCCTTGCAAATATTAGAGAAATATCAGAACAACCCAATGGTTTGGTTAGGTTACAAAAGCAACTTCTTTCAGATATTCTAAGGGGGAGAAAAGAAAAAATTAGCAGTGTTGACGAAGGAATCATTAAGATTAGAGATGCTATTTGCAGTAAAAGAGTCTTAATTGTTCTTGATGATGTGGATCAATTAGACCAATTAAATGCACTACTCATCATGCGAGATTGGTTTTATCCAGGAAGTAAAATTATCCTAACAACTAGACGTGAGCAATTGCTGAAGGCACATGAACTGTGTAAGATGCACAAAGTTAAGGAATTCAATGATGATGAATCATTTCAGCTCTTCTGTTGGCATGCCTTTGGACAAGACCATCCCATTGAAGTTTACTTGGAGAAGTCAAAAAGGGTCGTACAGTATTGCGGAGGGCTTCCTTTAGCTCTTCAAGTGTTGGGTTCTTCCCTATCCGGCAGACCTGTAGATGTGTGGGAAAGTACATTAAAGAAATTGGAAGTTATTCCTAACAGTCAGATCCTAAAGAAACTTAAAATAAGCTTTGATTCTTTACAAGATGACGATGACAGAAATGTGTTCCTTGACATTGCTTGTTTCTTTGTTGGAAAGGATAAAGATTTCATAATTACAATACTAGATGGGTGTGATTTCTACCCAAAAGTTGGAATTCACAATCTCATTGATAGATGCCTCATAGCTATCGATGAAAATAACAAGTTGACAATGCATCAGTTGCTTCGGGACATGGGGAGAGAAATCATACGCCAAGAATCACCCAAGGAACCTGGGAAACGCAGCAGATTGTGGCATCACAAGGACGCCTTTAGCGTATTAAATGACAAAACTGTAAGAAATATGCTTCTCATGATGTGTATTTGTATATTTTTTAGTTGGTGTGCTTACTTTTCAAGTCCTCTTATCAGGGAACAGATTCCGTTGAAGGCGTCACTCTCAACTTGAATGCATCTAAGGAAGATTGGTCCAGGAAGAAATTCTTTGGTTTAGATAATGCAAAAAGACACCATTCAGAAGATTTTCTTGACAAACCAACTTTACTTTCCGAAAACAATTCATTGAAGCAGCGTCGTCTAGGCTTCTTCTCTTGGCTCCCTATAAATTCTGCCTCAACGATATCGAATTCCACATCAAATGAAGTAGATTTGCACATTGATGCATTTTCAAGAATGCCCAGATTAAGACTACTCCAGCTAAATAATGCAAGGCTCAAAGGAGACTATGAAGAATTCCCTAGGAAGTTGAAATGGTTGTGTTGGCGTGGGTTCCCTTTAGAATCTATACCCAGTGGCCTTCATCTGGAGAGTCTGGTTGCCCTTGACATGCGCAATAGCAGCTTGAAACAAGCTTGGAATGGAAACAAGGTATGATACTAACTATTTTCCTTTACCTTTTTTTTTTTTTTTCTTCTTTGGTGATTAATATCAATATTCATTTAAACTCATTTCTAAATGGGCCATTGCGTGTTGCATTGGTAAAGTGCTTGGGATGTCAAGTGTGTTTCACTAATATTTTGTATCTTCTTAAGCAGTTGCTCGGATCGTTGAAAATTCTTAATCTCAGCCATTCTCATGCTCTTTCCAACACGCCTGACTTCTCACAATTCCCTAATCTAGAAAGATTGATTCTTAAAAATTGCATAAATTTGATTGAGATTCATGAATCAATTGAGGAATTAGGGAGACTAGTTCTGTTGAATCTAAAAGGTTGCAAAAATCTTAGGAAGCTTCCATCGAAAATTGGCCAGCTAAAATCTCTTCAAATACTCATTGTATCTCATTGTTCAAAGCTTGAGAAATTGGCTACTCTCCCTGCAGTTGGGATTGGCATAAATCAACCACCCTCCATGACTACTGGGGTAAGTACAGTGCTGGGCGAGATGGAGTCTTTGAAAATGCTCCCTGCAGATGGGATTGGCATAAATCAATCACCCTCCATGACTACTGGGGTAAGATCATGGCCTTCACACTTCCGGGATTGGCTATTGGGACCAAGAAGAAGTCCAGAATCGATCAGCTTTTCGTTGTGTTCTTTACCTCGCTCATTATCAAGTTTGAGTCTTGTTGGCTGCAACCTATCAAATGATGATATTCCAAACGATCTTGGCAGCCTATCCCTGTTGAAGTACTTGAATCTAAGTGAAAACCCAATCTGTAGCCTTCCAGAGAGCGTCAAGTGTCTCACTGTGCTCCAGGAACTCTATCTAAACAAATGCAAAACACTCCAGATACTTCCAGAGCTTCCAATGAGTTTATCGAGGTTGCATTTATACGGATGCAGGTCATTGGAAATGATAACAAATGTACCAAACCTGTTGGATTCTCTTGATTTGTTTATAAAAGACTGTTACAAACTAAGTGAGGTTCAGGGGTTGTTCAAGTTAGAACCCATTGGAAACTTTGATGAAGTAATGATCAACAATTTGGGCTTGTCCAACTTGGAATTCCTGAGAAACATTGAAGTGTGGTTGCTCAATAACATGACGAAAACTATAAGAAAAGTTCCCCTTCAGGTGAGTTCTCTCTCTCTCTCTCTCTCTCTCTCTCACACACGCACACACTCGTATTCGTAAGAGTTAAAAGTGATGATTTCGATGGTGTAGGGACTGTATGAAATGGGTATATTTAGCACTTTTCTCCCTGGTAGTGAAGTTGCAGCAGGCTGGTACAGCATTAAGAGCACGGAACCTGAAATATGTTTTAAGGTACCTTCATATCCTAATTTGAAGATCCAAGTCTTGAATGTATGTGTTGTCTATGCACAAACTGATGAACATTCTTGGCATTCTATGGATGGTTATTGGCGTGATGAGTTTTGGATGATTAGAGTGAGTAATAGGACAAAGGATGTGAAGTGGACATACAGCCCAACATTCATGGGCCTTCCAGTTGAGGGCCAGGAGATGGTATGGTTAAGCCATTGGAATTTTGTGAATCAATTGATGGAAGCTGGTGATGAAGTGAATATTTCATTGGTTTTTTTGAATTTTGGTAATAATCTCAAGCTAAAGGAGTTTGGAATCCAATTTGTGTTGGAGGAAGAAGAGAAGGTTACCCCATACACAGATTTGTCAGTGTACAAGGTGAAGGGATACACAGGTTCCTACTTCCTTTCTCATCATTGTTTTGGCCTCCGGTACCGCAGAAGGCTTCTTTTCATATAGAGCCTCCGGTACTGCATTTGTGTTTATATTGATGACTTTTTATATATTTAACACTCCGACTATGGAGAGATTAAATTCCCCCACCGACTTCTTAAAAAATTCTCAAAAATAGTCATTTACCGGGCTAAAGTTTAAAAAGGCTCGATAGATTTTCTTTTTTCCTGTAATTTACAGAGTAAACTTAAAACTAGAGGATGACAACAGAAAATATTTTGAATATTTTCTTTTTTCCTTTTTTCCAAAAGTCAAATTGTTCTTGATATAAAATGAAAATGTCAAAATACTCAACCAGACACACCTCCACAATCTTTGTCACTATCACAGTCCGGTCGGACATTGTGTCACTCTCACGGTCTGGTCCGATCGGAGTGTCGGACATTGTATCACTATTTCTCTCAAATCAGAAAGAGTGAGTGTGGGACATTTCACGTTATAATCTCCTTAGCTCATAGATTTTTATTCATAACAATTAAGTCAACCACTTGAAACCATACACAAGAGATTTGAATGGGAAACAACTTAAATTCAATAATTTAGTTGGCCTTTTGTCAATTTCAGGATACCCGAAATGATTACATCTAAGGATGATTAAAGTTCCACATCCATTGTGCCTAATGCAGCTCTGCTACATGCTCACTGCCTAAAGACGCATCAAACCAACTGCCCAAATTAGTTCATATTTACAATTCCATCCCCCAATTCTTTTTTTTTTTTCTTTTCTTTTTCCTTTTTTTATATTTTATATTTTTTTCTTTTGAAGGTTTTCATCACAATCTAACCCTTGAGAAAGCTGATGCACAATTTCTTCCATGCCTCCCTGTCTGGCTCATGTTTCTCCACCCTAGCCTTCATCTCATCAGCAAAAGCACCCTGCATATTATAAAACACACGAGTATATCAATTCACGGCCGTCTGATTCACGGTCTATACCATAATCCGATGGTTGACATAGCACGATGAAATTGCGCTGGAGAAGACGGTCGATAAGGTGCAAAAGAATGTCCTTGGTGTACTCAGGATGACCCTGGATGCCCATAATGTGATCACCATACCTGAACATCTCAACCCCCGTCTTTTCCGACCACCCGATTACCTCTGCTTTGGGTGGCAGTTCCCACACCTAGTGTATTACAAGTACGTTAGTTTGGAACATTTTCACAATTTGAAGTAACTATTCAATGAAAGCAGAAGTTTTCTTAACATGCACCTCATCGCGATGGCATTCAATCACCGGTAGCAGAGCAGGCACTTTCAGAGATGTGAAGAGCTTCGACGATGATGACAAATGAACGGTTGTAACACCGATGTCCCAACCAGAGGTGTTCCGGCCTATCTTTCCCCCCAATGCACGGCTCAATATCTATATAATCACCTCTTTCAAATATCATAACAAGTTGTTTTCAACAACAAAGTTCTATTTCTATTAAACAAAAACATTTTGTTGCTTCTGAAACATTTCACATACAATAGTGTATGTAACACTGCAAATAACAAAACAAGTACTGCACCAAAGTCAACCAACATTGTGATTAAGGCTATGCAATTATTTTGGCTCTACTTGATAACAATTCATTAGTCAAATAAACACACACATACGTGTATATACACACACAATGACAGATATATATCAATAATTCACTTTCATACAGTTGGCAGGTAGTGTGGTCCCTAAGTGGTTGTATTCCAGAAAGACATGTTACCAATAAATGCCCAGGAAATATCAAATTTAGTTACATTGTATACCTAAAAATGTCATATGATAGGCATGGTTCTATTGTTAGCTTGTTACTTAAAAATGATATCTTATTATGTGAGATGACATATATTTGAAAAGCAAATCAGGAACAAAGGGTTAGCGTCCTTATCTTACTCACATTATTGGGGGACAAAAATATAATGCACACGACGTGTGTTGAATATGACAATAAAATCTTGAGGTTACAACACTAATTACCCAACAAGGGTGTTGGTTAATTAACCAAATCATGTGTATAATATAATATACATATATACAGAGATGGAAAGACGTTTATTCAACTCTTCGAGATATGAAAATAGCAAAACTTCATCTACACACAAACACACCATGCAAATATGCGTGTTGAAAAAAATACTTTGTTGTGTTGAATTTACGTAAATGTCAAAGAGTAATGCTAGAACCAAAGCCGTTGGTCAAAATTGTGTATACAAACGTAAATATGCGTGTTGAAAAAAAATATATACTTTGTTGAGTTGAGTTTACGTTAATGTCAAAGAGTAATACTAGAACCGACTTTATATAAGGGTTAATTTTCATACCCTAAGTCCAAAATAAGACCAAACCATTTGTTCGATAAGAACTGGCAGCCATCAATTTTGGAGCAACCGAGCTCCTCATCTACTTAGGCCAAAACTCACACAAACATCCCATACTCGACTGTGTAAACGCACATAAACACATACATATATAAATACCGTACCCCAATCATGATACAATCGTGTCCCTTCCTTTAAAAAAATTTGAACACCCCGTCTTCCATAAGAAAAAAAAAATTGATTGCATAAACCAAACTGAAATGACCATCACAATACCATACAAACACATTTGCACATACCGTGCTCACTACTTGCTATATTAACATTTAAATTAGAACTGCACACACCATGCCTACCACTTTTTATCACCATATTCTTCATATTTGTCATCATATTAAAATTAACATGATTTCTATCATCATCATGGCAATAGTACGCATTATTTTAAACACATTAACATGTGATCACATAAGCAAATAAGCAAGTACGCAAGTAAGCATGCTTTTCAAAACCGTAAACACAAAAGCAACTAAGCAAGTAAGCGTACTTCTCAAAACGATAAACATTTTAACATGCAATGCATCTAAATCAGCTCAAGTCATTCTTAGGTCAACCCTACCTGTCGTCCTTAATTAGGTTTTCGAACCTAAAGTTCTCATACCAAATTTGTAACGACCCAAATTCACTGGATTCGGATCATTAAACGGGTCATTACCCAACCCAAAATCATCCAAGGATAATATGGTCCTTTCACGTTAAATTTGTATATTAAAGTCCAACAAGGACAAATGGTCATTTGTCACAATTCTAATGGTCTGAGACTCAAAGGGTAAAATAGTCATTTATTTGTACCACGTAATAAATAAGATAAAGTCCGGGGCAATATAGTCAGTCCCATGATTAAAATATAATTATTATATTTTATTGGACCTTACAATGTGTAACAATACACTTTAGTGATTGGTCAAGGGCAAAATGGGAAAATAAATCACAAATGTTTAGTACACAGGAACCGGTCGACGTATGGGGAGTTACACGTCAACTGGTTTGGGACGTGTACAGTGACATTGCCCACTGCCAAGATACCGGTCGACGTGTACGTGGTAGGCTACACGTCGACTGGTTCAGGACATATACAGTGAAAAAGCTACTGCCAAGATACCAGTCGACGTGTGGGATGCTACACGTCGACTAGTTCAGGTGTTTCAGTCGACATATGGAGTTTTACGTCGACTGGTTTGAGTTATCCACACTCAATTACTCACTGTCTAAAGAAAACCAAAATACACCAACATTTGATAACCAACCACTCACGCCACTACACTCACATACATATTTAATTACATTTTAACACTTAATACAATGACAACAGTGATAACATAATTTGACACACGTTACTAAAAATACACTAAAGGATTTAGTGTGATTAAAACTTAATTACATTTTCCCAATGACCATACACAAAAATGAACCCAATTACATCACTTGTTGCAAAATAATACATTTTTAGTCAACACTTTACAAAATTAAACCCAAATACAAAAGATAGCAAAAGAGACATTTTCCTACTCCAAGCTAAGGCTATGGTGGATTGACGTATGTCACTTCTTTTTCCGAACCTGAAAATGTTAAAATAATAGGGTGAGCTAAACGCTCAGTAGAAAGTGTCTAAGACACACTTCTCATACCCCGTGAATCCACGTAAGGAATAGGTAAAAGAAAACGGAATCATAACATAGGGGTGCATGGCAACAACTACAACAACAAGTATATAACCATTGTCACCCAAACATATACACACCATATATTCTAATGAAGTGCAATGTCATGCAAATGTCGCTCCCTATATCCAGGAAACATTTCCGTTTCAACATTCAAACCGTTAGTGTAATCCGACCCAAGGCACCTCCAAGGCGTCACGAAAGGAGGATTGACTAACTATCCAAGACCACAAGGCACCTCCAAGGTGTGGCATCCGGCCTAATTAGTTCAACCATACTCCCTTCTAGACTACACCAGTATCACGGACCACTGGGCGCCTCCTAGGCATCCGGTTTCGCAAACACCTTTAGAAAATAATTTCCCAAAACAATTTCGTTCGTTTTAAAACACTTTTTCCCCCTTTTTCTTTCCCACTGAATGTATGAATGCTTCATGCTTCAATTCAATCATAAGAGTTTACACATGCTTTTATAATTAAATCACTAAAATACACTACTTATGCTTTCATTTCACATTTTTTTAACATTTCGAGCATATATCACAAAATTTCATTTCACATAAGCATGCTTAAGCATAATATATCAAATAACACCATGTCAAAACTTCATACATGGCATTTAAACAATTTTCAAGAATTTATACTAATTAAACATGCAATTCAACAATTTATAAGAAAGAAATTCACAAAAAGCATAAAAAGAACCGTGTATTAGAGACCCCTACCTCAAATTAGGCAAAAATCCCCAATTGTGCCCTAGGTCTCGAATTCCCTAGAGTGCACCAAACATGAAATTGCTCCGATCAACTTGTAAACCTTGTCGTGGGTTTCAATTTGCCGCAAACGGCACTTAAAAATACTAAGTAATGAGAGAGGAATCAAACTTCGAAATTTTTGAAACAAAAGAAAAAGAAAAATGGAATTTTTAGAGTGGGAGAGAGAGACTTACAGGAGAAAAGAGAAAATGAGAGACCAGGGGTGGTCTCTAACCCCTTTTTTGGGGGGGGGGGGGGAGGGTTTTTCTTTTTCTTTTTCATTAATTCCCTCCACAAATTTATATATTCATCAACTATTAAAAATAGTCACATACAACACATTAATTAAAATTAACATGATGCAATTGAACCCAACCAAAACCTCCGTACTCAACAATTTCAGTAACGGGTCCCACTCGGGACTATCCGGCTTGGAAAACGAAAAAAATGTTGAAATGGTCACCTTTGCATTTTAAAGACCTTGAACTCAATGAAACCCCTCAACCAACTCTCGGACACAACCGGCACACTTCACAGTGTTCAACACGTAAAACGTGAAAAGACAAAAATACCCTCAAAAAATCAAAAAATTTTAAAAATAAAAATTGGTGAAAATTGAAATCACTACGTAACTTCAAAAGAGAGGAACCTCCACAGAGAGATTCAAAAGCTTCTGACTCTTAATATTGTCAAAAACCTGTCCCACCCTGAATATCATATTAACAAAGCTGGTAAGCATATTGATTAGATTGCGACTTCCAGAATTGACGCATTCAATGTCCACTGTTTGGTTGCCCACTTGCAGGGAAGCTCCCCTTGTGTGATCTAACCTTTCCTTTCCTTCCTTTTTATCTTTTGAGTTTTTCCCTTCTCTCTTTCTCACTCCTTTTTGCTCCTTTCCTCTCCCTTCAAAAGTCAACATAGCAAATTCAATCTTTCAGTGAGGGGATCAATCCAGTTCTTGGGGGATTTTGCTAATTAAAGGTAACTCTTATACCATTGAAATACCATAGTTTTTGATCAATTTTATTTTGTATGTATTGCCTTGTTTCTGTATTGTTGTTGTAAGAATACGCATCCATGAAAAAAAGCTGAAACTGTATATATAAAAGTGTAGCCTGAATAAAACTAACCACTGGGTCTGATTTCTTTCCTCTTGATAGGTTGACCCATGTCGATGTCTGTCTTCCTCTTTCAGAACAAACAACCAATTTGTTCTAAAAGTTTATGCGGGCAGGAATTCAAATAAATTTAAAACAGGTACGGAATGTAAATAATTTTAATATCCAAAGAGAAGATCATATGGAATGTAAATAAGTTTGATTGATACTGAATAAATAAATTTATTAAAACATATTAAGAAATACCAAAAGAACCTAGGCTCAATTCTTAATTGGTGGGAAGATCAACGATGATGGTGGTTAAGTTGAAGAGTGTGTATGCTGTATTGTGTTATCAACTGAGTCTATAAAGTTGCAAGGAAATTTCCTATGTTTGAGAGCATCAAATCAACGCCTTGGACTCCAATTACAGTTCCAAAGCGTCGATTCCAAACACAACCGTTATTACGTAGTCATGCTTCATGGGAGAGAATGTTTGTTAATTAAGAAATTAATTGTTCATAAAATGAGCACCGTTGAGACGTGGATGTTGAGATGGATTTACGTCAAGACAAAGGACAATATAAGAAATGATAAGGTGAAAATAACATCAATTAAAGATAAAATCAAGAAAATCTACTAGCACGGCTTTGGTAATGTGCAGCAAAAACCAACAACTGCGCTAGTAAAGAAAAGCAATGCTCTCCGTTGATGGAAATGATAGAGATAAAATTTTGTTGAGTTGAGTTGTGCTAAAACCTTTTTGAAGCCACTTTGAAGCATTTTGTTTCTGGATTTTTTGTTATGTGTGTTCCCATTTAACCCTTGCCTCATCTGCAATTCATTAACGCCTATCCTTTAGGATTTCCTTGTGTACTTTGGTTTGCATATGAGATTTAATTGACTTCGTTTATTTGAGTACATAATATTGTTGGTTTATTTTATTATTGACACCGTACACAAATATTGGTTGTGCCTGTACAGATTACATATATCCTTGTTCATTGATCTCTTAGAGGGTTGTTCAATGGCTGCTATGGGAGCCCAAGAAGCCTCCTTAAGTCGATGTTCTTATCACGTGTTCTTGAGTTTTAGAGGTGAAGACATCCGGAATACTTTTACTGATCATCTTTATACAGCTCATCTTTATACAGCTCTACTACATGCAGGAATACACACATTTAGGGATGATGATGGACTGGAGAGAGGACAGAATATCACCCTAGAACTAAATAAGGCAATCCAAGAGTCAAGAATTTCAATAATTGTCTTCTCAAAAGACTATGCATCGTCAAGATGGTGTCTTGATGAGCTTTTGAATATCCTTGAGCACAAGAAGACTACTGGTCATATGATTCTGCCTGTCTTCTATCATGTGGATCCATCCCTTGTAAGAAACCAGACAGAGAGTTTTGCTGAAGCATTTGCCACACACGAAGAGCGATTTAAGGCAGAGAAAGAAGAAAGAAAAGAGGCAGGGTTGGAGAGGATAAAGAGGTGGAAGGCA